GCCCCGAAGGGTGCTGCCCTGCGGACTACCCGCCCGCTGGACCCACAGGACGTTCGCAGGGTGCGGGCACCTCTGCTCAGCTCGGCCTGGGGGCCACAGCGCTGCGGGTGCCAGCTGCACTCTGAGTGAGGACGTCGGGGCGTCCAGCATGTGCGGCGCCCAGGGTGGGCCCAGGAGGGTGAGCGGCGGGGGCCCTGCAGGTCCCAGGACAGCACCACGGAGCGGCTTACGACACAAACGCATCTCGTCCTCCTCTGGTCTCCAGCTTCCGTGTGGGCGGGCAGGTCCCTCAGAGGCTCCGGGCCAGAGCCCTGGCCTCTCCCGGCCTCCGGAGGGGCGGCATCCTTGGCCCGGGGCCCCTGCCTGCACAACCGCCTCTCCCGCCTCTCCCATCCGCCCTCACTCTGCACTCTGGCCTCCTGCGCCTCTCAGGAGGGCCCCTGGGGGGTCAGGTCTGGCCACAGGGCGATCCAGGGTCGTGCCCCCGTCTCGAGACCTTCCTGCCGTCACAGCTGCCTGTCCCGGGGCCTGGGGTTCCACCCGTGCCTCCCGGCTCCCCAGTCTGCCCATTCACCTTTCTATGCCCTACCGTCCAGAGGGGCTTCTGTGCCAGTGTAGACACAGCCCGAACCCTGCGAGGGGAGCACCCCGGTGAGCTTTCACACAGCCCTGTGAGCGTGGGGCAGCCAGCTCCCAGTGACTCGGGTGCCTGCATCCCTCCTGGCTGGTCGTCTGCAGAGACCACGTGGTGACCTTCATGCACATCGGCCCCCAGCCCGTTCCTCCCCCACCCGGAGCCCACACTGGACCCTCGGGGCCTGGCTTCTTTGGCTCAGAATTCTCTCCCGGCTTGTGGCCCTCACTCGTACCCCTGGGCAGCATCCACTGCGTGAAGAAGCCACACTTCAGTGACTGGGCAGACGTCAGGCTTTCGTCCAGCTTGGTGTGAGAAGTAGAGTCACCCAGAGTGCATGTGTGTGTCTGCAGGGGACGTCAGCGGTCAGTTCTCTGGGGCCACACCCGGGTGGAGTGCATGCATGCTTGGCATCAGGGGAGCTGACGCCCCCATGCCCGTTCCAGCGCCCCCCCAGGCCCCCTGGCCATGTCACACCCGCGCCCCCCAGGGCCTTCCCGGGTCACGCCCGCCCCATGCTTGTGTTGCTGTCTGGTGGGCATGCAGGGGGACCTTCCTGAAGCCTGGATTTGCCTGACAACTAATGGTGCTGAGTATCTTTTCGTATTCTTTCTAACCATTTTGACATCCTTTTTGGATAAAGGGCCTATTTTTTTCTATCTCCCCCGTAATCCTACATTTCTAGTAGCATTTGTGCTGGGCTTGCTGGCTGAGGCGACTCAGCCACGTAAGGTGGGAGGAGCGCACGCCCCGTTTTCTGCTCTAGGGAACGTTCCTGGTGCGGCCTGTGGCTTCCTCGCTGGGGTTTTGCTTCTGCTGCTGCTGGAATTTCTGTAGCTCTCGTGGGGACACTACTTGAGGTTTCGTTGTTTCGCTTAAAGAATTTGTCCATTTGGCACAGTTGCTCATAATCTCCTTTTGTTCTTACAGCCTCTGGGGCCGCGTCCACCGGTTGTGTCCCTGCAACAAAGCACCACAGACGGGGCGGTGAGCGGCCGACGGAGTCCCGGGGCGGTGAGCAGGCGAGCCCTCAGAGCCTGCTGGGGGAAGCGGGGGCTGGCAGGGCACCTTCTAGGAAGCAGCATTGTTCCGTCCCCCGTCCCAGGGGCGGGAGGCCCCAGGTGAAGGTGCTGCCGGGCCCGCTGCTCCCGCGGCTGAGAGATGGCCACTGTCACCCTCACGCCGCATTCCCCCTGAGTGTGCATCTCCAAGCCTCCCCTTTTGATAAGGATGCAGTCGTGTTGGATCCGGACCCACCATAAAGACCTCAACTGGGCTCGAGCCTCTGCAGAGACCCTGTTTCCAAACAAGGTCACACTCGCAGGCCCTGGAGGTCGGGACGCCATCACCTGAGTTTTGGGGGGAGATGCTTTTAGTCCCTAACAATTCCTTACATACTTTTTTGTAATTCCTTTTCTTCTTAATCAATCTGCTTTTGTCAGTTTTATCATTATTGGTCTTTTCAGAAAAAGTTTAGCTTTGCTCCTTCTTTACATTTTGTTTTCTCCTTCACTGATTTCTGCTCAGGTCTTTTATTCCTTATTTCTTTTTACACATGTTGGATCTATTCTGATATCCTCTTTCCTACTTTTGGAGATGGTTAATTGGCTCATTAACTTTCAGCCTCTCTTTTTTTTCAAACAAGACTTTGAAGTTGTGTTTTAGGAGCTTCTACTTCCAGACGAGGAGAAACAGCAGGGGCAGGGTTCACTCTCCGGTCCAAAATGATGACAACTGGACTAAATATGTGAAATGACCATCGTGAAGACCCTGAGCATCAGACACGGAGAGAGGAGTGCACCAGGCCCTGGGTCTGCTGGGGACGACATGGGGCTGGGTGTCTGGGGAGTGCAGTGACCAGAGTCCTGAGGGCTGGCACCCTGGAGGTGGGAGCCGTGTGGGGAGAAGCTGGAGACCAGCACCAGGTGCCTGAGTATCCAGCCGGTTACTCATCAGTGCGTGTGCTTCAGGAAATGATGCATGGTCAAGTGGGAGCCACTGGAAAGGCACTGAAGGAATGATCCTGGACACGAAGAGCAGTCGTACCCGTTGTAATTAGCCAGAGTGGAAGCCTCACCGTTCAGGGGGCCGGCTCAGCGGCTGGGGGTAAAACTAAATCACAGACTAAGCACTGCTTTGGTCCCACCAACAAAGCTTAAAGACAAGATCCAAAAGGATTAAGTTGTTTCCAAAGACTTCTGTTTCCCAGTAAGAAGCTAAAAGATACCCTTCACCCAAGAAGGTAAAATTCACAACGTCTGCCTCCAAATTACAGATCTACAGAGAAGCAAGAAAATGCAATCCACACCAAGAAACATCGGTCAACTGGAGCTGAACCCATTAGAAATGGGGACAAGAATATGAAAGCAGTTGTCAGACTGACTCCACGTCTGAGCAGCTACAGGGGAGGTTAAAGACGGGTGGGAGCACTGGAAGATTCCATCTTACACAAGAAGAGATTAATGAGTTTAAGACGGTAGCTGTGTGAATGAAACAGAGTGAGGAAAACAAGGAAACATCTGAGAGCCGCAGGAGACCCGGGGCTAGTGGGGTCGGGGGAGGTGGTGGGGCTGGGGAGGCCTTCGAAGAAATGTCTGATGACTTGTGAGATTTGATTAAAATAGATATGAAAGCACAGATTCAAGAAGCGTGCCAAAAACCAAGCACAAGGAACAGGAAGAAAACTAAAAGGTGTGGGAATCAAATTGCTGATTTGTAACGAAGAGAAAAATCTGTAAAGTAGCCAGAGAAAAAACATGCATGACATCCAAAGGAACAACAACAAAAAATGATACAGGAGACTTCTCCCAGGAAACAATTCAAGTTAAAAGGTATCTTTAAAATACTGAAAAGAAAAAAGAGAAAAAATCTAACTGAATCCTTTACAGGGAAAATATATTTCAAAATATCTTTTAAAATTAAGGATTTTTACAGACATACTAACCTTGACGAATCACAGCAGATCTGCTCTGTAAGAAGCATTAAGACGAGTCCTTCCAGCAGCAGATGGAAACCTGACCCACACGTGGGAACGAGAAGCACCAGAAACAGTAACTATGTGGGTGAATATAGGGACCTGTTTTTTTATTAAATTACCTTAAAAGACAACAGACCACTTAAAGCTGGAATAATGACGATGTTTTTCGGGGTCCCTGACCCACATCTGCAAGAACAGCACAAGTGTGGGGAGGGAAGCCGTGCAAGGCCGCTCCCGTAGGTTCTCACGCTGGGGGTGAGGACTGGTGTCACCCCCAGGAGGCCGGAGACAAACACACACTGTATACACCCTGCAGCAATCTCCAGAATAAACCACTATTGCTCTTGAGCCAGTAAAGGAGATAAAACCGACATTAAGAAATATTCAACGCAAAAGAAGGTGGAAAAACATGGGCAGAGGGACAGGACGGATGGGAGCGGCAGAAGGCCAGCAGCAATACAGGATTACAGCCGTCCCAGCAATGAGCACATTAAACGTAAATGGCGCAGACGCCCCAGCTAAAAGGCAGAGACCAACAGGCTGAGCGCAAAAGCAAGGCCCAGCCGGATGCTGCAGAGAAGCAGCCCCTGGAGACAGCAGGACACGGAGGGCTCAAAAGAAAACCCTGAGAGAAGACTCGCCATGTGAACACTCAAAAAAAGAAAGCTGGACGGACAATATCAATATCAGGAAAGTAGATCTTAGGGAAAGGGTATTACCAGGAAATAGTCTTTTCATCCAAATAAAGGTAAACTAACCATGAAAAGGATATAATAATCCTGAACGTTTATGTGCTCAGTAACAGAGCTTCAAAATACGTGAAGCCAAAGTTGTTAGACGTGCAGGAAGACGTGGACCCAGTCTCTCAGTGACCGATGGGCCGATGGCAGTGGCAGATCCATGAGGACATGGAAGACTGAATGCCGTCCGCCCGGGAGACCCATGAGATGCCCCACTCAGCAGCAGAGCACTTACTCTTCTCAGCAGCAAAGAGCACGCTTACCAAGAGAGACACAAAACAGGCCCAAACGAATGTGAGTGGTTCCAGGCGGACACACTGTGTCTTCAGCCTCCATGCGGCCAAGTGAGCGGCAGAAGCAGAAAGACCCTGGGAGAGCCTCCAGAACGCAGGAGGGAGATTAGAAAGTGTGGAACTGAACGAAGACACAGGTCGTGACACTGTGACAGTGAGATGGAAGTTTGGCTGAGGCCATGTGTGCCGGGCAGTCCTGGTGCTAAAACCTAGGAAAGAGGGGTCTCAGCGTCCTCAACCTCCAAGAAGCTAGGAGAGCAAATTAAACCCAAAGAAAGTAGAGAATACGATAAATACCAATGAAATAGAAAAGTAATTCAGAGAATTAACAAACCCAAACCTTGTTCTTCGAGAAGATGGGTCCAGTGAGGAGGAAACCCGTAGCCGGGCCAGGTAGGAGAAAGGGGACTGCGCACCACAGTACCCACCAAGGACACCGCATGTGTGGACAGAATAACTGCAGTCCGGGCAACTTTGTGCCAGTATGGTCAACAATCTGGACGGGTGTGCAAGCTGCCATTCACGCAGAAAGCACAGGTACCCCGGATAGCCCTCTATTTCTTGAAAACATTGAACCCGTAGTTTAAATCTTCCCACAAAGGAAGGACCGGATGGCTTGGTGGGTGGATTGCACCTAACACTGCGGGAGAGAATAACAGTGACGCCACAGTCTTCCGGAAACATGCAGAGGACGGAGGGCCTCCGGTCTGGTCGCGGGAGGCCGGCCTGCCTTAGCCCGGGGCCGCCAGCCCCCTCCCGGGCTGCCCTCCAGCGCCAGCCTCGCGCCCTCGGGTCCCTCCTTCCCTCTCCCTCACAGACCTTCCCTCTTGAAGTCCACTCTGCAGAAATGCAGCTGCTGGCAAAATCCTTCAAGGCATGTCCGGATAAAAGTGTCCCAGTGCCCCTCATTCTTGAGGGACACGCGTTTCCCCAGGGGCCCAGCCCCCGACGGTCAGGGAGTCCTCGCTGGGCTGTGGCCAGGCCGCGCGGCTGGTCCCTCTGTCCCTCCTGCTGGGATGCTCTGTCGTCCTCCAATGATAGGGAAGCCGGCCGCTCTCTCCCCCACAGTGCCTCTCCCACACTCCCTCTGTCCCCCCTCGTGGGGTCGTGGTCTGTCCCTACCCCTCGACCTCCTCCGGTCGGTCTTCAGTCCCTGCTCCCTGGGCCGCAGTCTGGTGCTGCTTTCCTAAGTGTTTCTCCACATGGCTACCTTTCTCTCCTTTGGTACTTCATCCTCCTTATTTACGCTGTCATTACTCAGTGAGGCGTGGGACTCCCTGCAGGCTGGCTGGTCCTGGGCTCATCCGTCCCTCCCGGGCTCACGCCGTCCCTCCACGCTGTCCCTCCCGGGCTCACGCTATCCTTCCCGGCTCACACCGTCCCTTCCGGACTCACTCCATCCCTCCACGCTGTCCCTCCCGGGCTCACACTGTCCCTCCCAGGCTCAAGCTGTCCCTCCACGCTGTCCCTCCTGGGCTCACGCCATCCCTCCATCCTGTCCCTCCCGGGCTCACGCCGTCCCTCCCAGACTCACGCCGTCCCTCCCGGGCTCATGCCGTCCCTCCACACCGTCCCTCCCGGGCTCATGCCGTCCCTCCCGGGCTCACGCCGTCCCTCCCGGGCTCACGCCGTCCCTCCACCCTGTCCCTCCCGGGCTCACGCCGTCCCTCCACCCTGTCCCTCCCGGACCCACACCGTCCCTCCCGGACTCACGCCGTCCCTCCACGCTGTCCCTCCCGGGCTCACGCCATCCCTCCCAGACTCACACTGTCCCTCCCACTATCCATCCCAGATGCAGAGCACAACTTGCACTACGTTCTGGATCCTTCCCAGCAGCTGCAGAATTTGCGTATCTGATTCCTCTGCTTTGTGCTTCCACTGCTCCCGCTTACTCTCAGTCATGATGCTTTGTGGAGTGTTTGGAGGTGGTTTGGTTGTGTGTTCATATTTGGTGAACGGCAGGAGTCCTGACCCCGGAATGCTGATGCCTCCTTCGGGGAGGACCTGGAGCTTCTGGGTTGGTGCCGGCAGGAGTCAGGGTCCCTGCGGACAGGAGGCGCGGTAGATCTTCAGGGGCCCCCATGTCACACACCGTGCAGGCCCGGGGGCTGGGAGAGACCAGATAAGGTACATTGATGAAGCCCGAGTCTGGATTCTACTCCAGGGGCCGTGAGCAGGTCTTAGCGGGTATTAGCGGGATGGGCCCTGCTCACAGGGACGCCGCCGGGAGGAGGTGCCTGCCCAGACGGGAAGCCTGGCGCAGCCGTCCAAGTGGGAGGTGACGGGGCAGCGTCTGGCAGCGTCCAGCACGCGACAGACAGGAGTCAAGCACATCCGGACCAGCAGCTCTAATTTCTATGCCTCGCGTCGCTGCATCTGTAAGGGGTCGGAGCTGGGGCCTCCTGTAAGTCACAGGCCCTGGCTCTGTGTCCTCACCTCCTTCCCCGTCCCCCATCCGCCCCCGCTCCTGCTGACTGGCACCCGCCGGCCAGGGCCCTGAGCGTCCCCGAGACACACCCAGTCACGGGGCCTTGCTCACGGCAGGGAGCCGGGACATGGCCTGGGGCACGTGCTGTTCACAAAAGGAGAGATTAAGGACTTAATTCCGTAAGTAAATTCCACCTTTCAGCCTCCAAGGGGGTCAATTTACCTTACCATTTTCTTAAGTTTCATCAAATAACTTCCAGGAGTGCAGAAATCCAGGGGCGCACACCCAACCGGAACTGAGCCATGTTTGCCAAGATACAAGGACCACATACCTGCACTCAGAGGAATTTTAGCCGTCAGCACTTTTGACTGGTTTTGATCAGGTGGTTGAGGGTGCGAGGGAAAGTACACAGAGAGACAGAAATGGGTCAGGATGGATTAAATGTGGCAGCCTCGTCCGCCAGAGCGGGGGATGCACACCCGTTCTCCCGGGAGCCGCCAACCTTCCTGACCCGAGGGGCCGTTTCCTAAGGCCCCCACCCCCGCTCGCTGCCCTTCCTCCGGACAGTGCCCGACCGCCCAGAAGCCACGCACGGGGGACACCGGCCTTGCACTTGGGAGAACCTGGGTTTGTGTCCCGGCTCTTTCAGGAAGCCCCCACCCTGAACGCTTGTCCACCTACTTCCCGGTTGCTCAGGGATAATGAGCTAATGTGGGAAAAGTCGCCAACAAGGGCCATTATGCCCACTGCTGTGTATCCGCACTGCGAAGAATAGGAACCCAATAGTAACCCTGTCAGGGTGTGGCAGATGGGGACAACATGGGCGCCAAGCAGCCACCGTTCCATTCTGCTCACAGAGACCTGCCCAGGAGAACGAGGCACAGAAAATAAAGTGGGGGCTGCTTTCAGCCCAGGTTGGGGGGACAGTAGCAGCTGGGACCAGGGACTCTCTGGACCCAGAGAGCCTGGAAGACCGGGCACAGACCCCGAGGTTCCCTGGGGCATCCCCCACCCCAGCTACTCCGAGCCGGCAGTCCTGGCGATCCCAGGGCCTGGCGGGCCAGCCGCTGCTGCCCACATGGGTGGTCCACGCCACCAGGGACACGGCCTGGATCCTCTGCTCCGTCCCTGTTGTGTGTGGTTGGTTAGGATTTCACTTGTTTATGACTTAAGTTGTTTTGACCTCTGGGTGAATTTGTTTGCACTCGGGAAGCCGTGTTGGGATGTCGTCCCTGACGCCTGCTGTTGACACGCACTCTGCGACTCAACGTGGACGGGGCCGTGTGGGTAGGAACAGGGAAGAGCCGCCACGGCGAGCGGCCACGTCAACCCTCTGTACCGAGAGTCTGTGGGGACGGAGCGAGACCCTGGGTCTGGCAGGGCCCGGCTCAGCTGCTCCCGACAGCCCTCCTCTGCAGGGTGGGGGACCGCCCACCGCGGTGAAGGCGCACGGCTGCCCAGAAGGGGGTCCTCTTCCTGCCGACACGGTGCCTTCGTCCCCGACAGCGTGCGCAGCAGCGGGGGGCCGCCTCCTGAGATCCCGCGCGGAGAAAGGGGCGTCTCGCCGGAGTCGGACGCTGTGCCCTTCACCTCCCCTTTGCCTAGAATAAGAGTGTGATTAATCTGTCTGTGGCTCGCAGTGTGTTCTTTCTTTATTGGTTTATTAGGAGGCATTATCTTGTCTACTACGGGTTTGTGAAATGTTACTACAAGTTATAATTCCCACAGTGAACCCATGTTAAATTATTGGCAAAGACAGTGTCGGTCTCAGGATACTTTCCCTCAAACAAAACAATCGCCTTCCCAGCGGCACCTGGGGTGGCTTTGGGGCCCCTGGGTGCCACACATGGAGGTCTCCCTACGCCAGCCATCCAGAGAACACCCCGTGAGACCGGGTCCCAAACCTGCCCTCCACGCCCCCTCCCTTCACTCGTGTGTGGGCTGAAGGACAGGGCTCCGCCCGTGACTCATCTTCTATGCTCCCTGGGCCGGAACCTTCCGCGGGGCCGAGGTGGGCCTGTTGCCAGGGCTGCCCGGGCGCCCCATCCTGGCCGTCTCCCCGGCGGCCTGCGGACCGTCCACACCCCATCAGAGAGGCGGCAGTAAGAGCCAGCGAGGCCAGCAGTGCTGGTGGGGACCCGGGGAAGCGAGAGCGCCGCTCCTGACAGTGACCCGGCCGCTCTCTCCAGGAACAAGCACACGCTACGTGTCCTGTTCACGAGCATTCGCCACAGCTTTATGTGTAACAGCTGCAAAGTGGAAAAACCCTTCAGCAGGCGTGTGGTCGTGCCACCCATGCCCAGAGCACGGCTGGGAGCCGCCTAGGGATGGAAAACAGTGGACTGCTGGCCCACGGAAGGACACGGAGCACAGCGCCAGTCCCCGTGCGTCACGGGGACTGTGATTCCATCTCTAGTCCCAAAACGGCAGTGTCCCTGCAGAGCAGGCTGCTCGTCAGGCGCCGGGGTGGGGGGCCGGGGGCCGGGGGGTGCAGCACGGTGACCCTAGAGCCCGTGGTACCATTCCGCGTGGCAAGAGCAGTGCTGGTCACGCAAATCCACACAGGCACTGAGAGGACATCCAGCTCCGCACACGCCCCGGACCAGGCTCAGTGCGCTGGCCAAGGGTCCCCCGTGTTCCGGGAGGTCGCCCGCTGGGGACAGCGGGAGAAGCACCCGGGGGCAGAGCCGATCAACAGCTGTATTCTCCGACACGCTGAGCGTCGAGGGCCGAAGGCAGCCCAAGGAGGCCACGTCCTAGGCCCGGACCCTGGGGACGTGGCCTCGCCTGGCACGAGGGACTTTGCAGCTGGGATTTCTTGAGCAGGGTCAGAGTCAGGGGGATGCAGACGGAGGCTGGCACTGGTATCACAGCAGCTCAGACGGTGCCCAGTGGAAGGCCCTTCCCGGGAGCAGGGGCCCCTCCGTCGGCAAGGCCACGCTGTTGACACGATCTCGGTGCCGTGCTCTCTCTGTGGACAGCTTCCATTCAGACGGAGGCCTGTGTGCAGCTGACCCCCTTGCCCTGTGTTCATCAGGGCAGAGGCCCAACCACGGACACCCGTTTGGAGCTGAGGCGTGTGTTGGCCTGGGAGCTGCTCGGCCAGCACGCCCAGCACCAACGCGCCGGCCCCTCGCAAGCTCCTCTCCGCACCGCCATCCAGAGCGGGCTCTCCCCCAGGGTGCTGTGTGCACCGCGAGCAGGGAGCCCTGCCCGGGCACCGACGACGGCCTCCCTGGGCTCAGGTCACTCGGGCAAGGCTGGGGCTTCCTGAGATCTGCCCTTGTCATTTCCGTGATTCCTCGGGGACCGGGGAGGAGCGGTCTGCTGACATCCTGCAGTTCTTGGAGCAACCTGAACGGCCTGGGCGGCACCCCCCGCAACCTGCGCCCACGCTGTTAGAAGTCTGGGGCCAGCGTGCCCAGCCGCACAGGGGTGGGGCTCCCCACTCCTGCACTGGATGGACGGTACTGCGGCATCCTTCTGCTCCCGGTGCCAGATGCACTCGGCTTAGGAACTGCCGGGTGTCAAGTGTGAAGCCCACCCATGGCCTCCCGGAAGGCCCAGGATGAGGCTTTTGTGGTATTCTATCTCAAGCCAACAGCATCGATTTTTCCTCGGGACATTTCTCAAGTTTACGACGCAATGATTTCAGACTATCACCCGCTTCCCGCGGCAGGTTAACCACACAGGCGACACCGGAGATGAACGGTCTCCATTCACGCTGGGGGAACGCTTCCTTGCCCTCAACATGGGTGTGTCCTTTTCTGCCTTGGTTTCCCCTGTTCCGCTCTTTCTAAGAACATCTGCCTCCTGAGCAGGTTTCCCCAGGTGAATCAGAGTAACTCTGTCGGAAAAGAACAAATTTCCCCCAGCAGTGGGCAAACGCACCAGTGGCAGAAGTGAGCGGGTCTCCAACACAGCCCCGGAGGCCGCAGTGCTGGTTCAGTGGAACCGTACAGGGCGGGACCCGATCCGAGTGTTCCAGGCTCCGCCAGCGCCATGAATACGCACACCCGGCGCCCAGGGGACTGGCAGGGAGGCCTGTTCAAATGCTGCGGCTGAGAACAAGAGCAAGTTCCCGACCACGGTTCTTACGTTGTGAAAGGTTAACAGTCGCCCAGCCACGCAGTGTCTGCTGAGCTCAGGTACGTCACCCCGGGAGCCTCCTGAGACCGGGTTTGCCTATTGCTTAGGGATTCAAACCTGAACGTGCCGCGGAGCCTGCGTTTGCGTGAAATCTCATTAGGGTGGCTCCTCTGAAGTGTCTTGTTCAAGCATCGTGACCGGCATCGTCAAAACTGTCCCCCTGGGTCTGGACCATCAGTGTTGTGGAGATTCTGGGCTGGGCCGGAAAGGGCTCTGAGGTCGCAGACAGGTCCCTCCGCCTGCCCAGTCCCGTCTTGGGGGTTGGGGGGTGTCTCGGAGCATGCAAGGAGCTGGAGCTCGTATGAGGAGCCTGCACATGGTGCCAAACAGGCCCTGTGGCTCCGATTTCTTTCGTCCTTCACGGACACGGTTAGCAGGGAATTGATTGGGGGTTTTTGTTTCTGGTGGAGACAATAGAAGCCTAAGGACCTGAACAAGGAGAAAGGGCAGTCCAGGGGCAAGGAGACCAAGTTGGCAGGGAAGATCGGCCGCTGCCTGCTCGCAGCCCACTCGCCCGCGCCCTCAGTTGCGCCCAGGCCCACGTGGCCGGATCGCCAGCGACTCTTCTCCTGGGACCCCGTCGCACATTTGCTATCCTGCTCCTTCCATCACCCCCTCCCCAGCTGGACCCCTCGGCAGCCCTCAGTGCCTGGATCACGGCCCCTGGGAGAAACAGACAAACCAGGGGGCCCTCTCAACACCGGGCGCAGAGCACACCAGGTGCCCCACGTTAGGGCTCCCCGTGGGTACCCCCAGAGCCGCGGCCACCTCCACCGTTCTCCGCTGTGCGACCCTCGCTGCGACCGCGGCACCCTGCAAGGGGTCGC